AAGCAGGAGGTGAGAATGGTGCGGCGCGAGTCCACCTAGAGAGGCTACACTTAGATGAAGTGAGACAAGCTCTTCAAAAACTCAAACCGAAAAGGTCCGCGGGTCCAGACGGTATCCCCCCTTATATCTTTAGGGATTGTCGTTTGGTTCTAGACGGACCTCTGCTTTACATTTTTAACAAATGCCTAGAGGCTGCTGTATTTCCAGAGATGTGGAAACTTACTCGGGTGGTACCGGTACCTAAAGCAGGTAATGGAAATAATTTAGAAAATTATAGACCAGTAGCAGTACTGTCAGCTCCAGCGAAAATACTAGAGTCCGCTATCCATTACAATTTATTCTTACAGGTTAGCACACAATTATCAGACGCTCAACATGGGTTCAGACCAGAAAGAAGTACTGACAGTAATCTATTTAGCCATATGGCTCAAATTGTGCCAACAGTAGATAGGGGTGAACAGGTGGACGCGGCTTATTTTGACTTCAAAAAGGCGTTTGATTCCGTAAATAACGATGTATTGTTGAAAAAATTGGCTGGCGTCGGTTTCACTCCACATCTTCTAAAGTTTTTTGCTAGCTATATGAGAGATAGGCAGCAGTATGTACAATGCGGGAAACATCTGTCAGAAAGATATTTTACTTGGTCGGGAGTGAGCCAGGGCAGTAATCTAGGGCCGCTCCAGTTCATATTGATGATTAACGATCTTCCGAGTGTTGTGAAAGATGCGAAGAGTCTGTTATTCGCCGACGATCTCAAACTTTCACTCCCTATAAGGAGCGCTGAGGATTGTCAAAGACTTCAGAGCGACATAAATGGAGTAGTGGCTTGGAGTAAGGAGAACAAGTTGCAATTTAACATCTCAAAGTGCTTGACAATATCATTCACCCGCTCAAAAACACCTATATTGCAAAACTATGAGGTTGACAATAAGCTTATGAAAAGAGTTACAGAAGTGCGGGATCTGGGTGTTCAAATGGATTCCGGACTAAATTTTCATGCTCATGTTATTAATATCTGCAAAAAGGCGTATAGGAATCTAGGGTTTGTTCTTCGCCGAGTAAATAATTTTACAAATGTCAAAGCAATCATTGTATTATACAATGCCTTGGTCAGAAGTCATTTGGAACACAATGCAATCGTTTGGTTTCCGCATGAAGCTAATGAAACGAACCCCCCCCCCCATCTTTTTTCTTTTCTACTATATCCCACTTATATTTGTATTTCTTTAGAATCTATATCTGTAAGATATATAAATATATCAAATTTACGTGACCAGTATAACTTGATCTTTCTAAAGGTTTAAATATAGGCCGTTTAAATTTATGGCGTGATCGTCTTAGTTAGGACCCCTCTTTACGTTATGTTTGTATAGTAACTTAGTTCTTTTAGGTGTATCTTGGAAGAATGAATATTCACGAGAGCAATCGAAAGCTGTTGGTAGAGTCTTATAAGCTAGAGAACCCCGTTCACTAAGACAGAGCTCAAAAAGGTTAAGAACAATAAATTGTCCCTATTCCACTTGTATCTGGTTCACAACAGTCAATTCCTTATTAATTAATCCCTTCCCGCTTGGAAAAGGCTCACAATATTTATATCAAATACCAGTTACAAGGGCTTCGCTCTCCCACATTTTAAAAAAAATGTGGAGGAGGTACACGGCCCCACACACGCCGCGCACGGTGAGCGCCAACCATTTTAATGCGCTCCCCCCGAAGGGTACGCAAAGTTGGGAACTGGACCGTAGTCCACAGCAAAATAACTGGCGAACCAGTAAAAGAGGACTTGGCCCCTTGATAGTGCGTAAGCACAAACATCGACCGAAGTCGCGCATGTCAATGCGTGTAAACGCCATACAGAATACGATCAAATCCAGTCACAGTGAATGTACGTCACACGGGTTAGGCAACAATAGGCACACTGACCATAAAAAGCCTTCCGTGAGCGCCACCACCTGCCAGACCGCCGTTCCTGCAGACGTGATGTAAGTGTAAGGCATCACCACCAATTGCATGGTCAGCACGGCCAATTGGCCGCAGAGCGTGTCATGAGTCTACCGCTCACCTCAAGGGAATGGGGTCCCACGTTGCGCGGCTTTCGGCCGCAGCCTTGAGAGCCTCCTCAGATTCTCCCTCCAGCTACCACCCGCATGAGGTCAACACATATGCTCCACCAACCAATACAATGGCAGATATAGCCAATAGGCAGTTATAAGATAATATTAATAATTCGCCATCAGAAAGGGTTTGTGTCACTGACGTTGAGTATATGCATTTTTCGATCATGTTTGTCTCACCCACCAACAAGTTGCCTTCAATCTCTCAAAGGTGGGAACTTTATAGAGATATATTATTAAGTTGTTATATAAAACATCATGGAGGGCAGACAGTCTGCAGCCCCGCTATGAAGGGACCCGACTTGGGCAAAGCTACTTAGGTTGTGAGTCAAACCAAGACGCAGAGAGCGCCATTGAGAATAGCGACCCGCCAAATAACCATCGTAGAGACGCAATGCTACAGAATGCAACAAGCATCAATACGACTATCGTCGGGCTTACACCATCCCAAGGTCCCCCATACAGTCCCAGCAGACATCACCACCCGCATACCTCCATCGACCAGAACCACAAGATGCATCGAATCAGGTGCAGCACACCCGCAGATCCATCACAAGACACAATACTGCAAGTAGCAGTAAGCATCAATGCAACTATCATACGGATGGCGCCCCCTCACAACACACCCACATGATCCCTATCGACTTTGGTAACAAAATTTGATAATGTTGTTAACTAAAAATACCACCGACGTATCATAGTAGTACGGTACTAAGACGTCAGTAGCCAAAACTCCACGTATCATAGCGCTATTGCACTAAGACATGAAGTTGAGTATGCTTGCTGCACTTAAAAGTACTACCAAACACACTCACCCTAATCCGAAAGATAGCCGACGTATCATAACGCTATGCGCTAAGACGCCGCCCACAACCGGTAGGGGTGTGCGATGTCCACGGGCAAGTCGTATTGCTACAACAAACCCGCTTACCACCGGCACTAAGATGATATGTCTAGGACACATCGGTTAGTGAGTCCAAGTTTACCTCGGTCTCAGAGGCTGCGAAGCAACCTACACGCCACTATAATAATCCTTTTCAAGTCCCATTTCTTTCAATATAATGCTTTTACATATATGAGACCTTCCACATATTTGCTTTATTTCATAGACCATACTACTGTATGTCTTATTCATATGGGACTTCAAGTCATAACTCTGCTATCATAATGCTTATGCATCATAGAGACCTTCTATATTAATGCTTTGGTTCGTCAGACCTTACTATGTTAAGTCCCTAATATAGGACTAGTCATTGTGCAACCTTAGTACTAGCAGTCGGTCAGCCGACCACCCCATATATATGTACAACCTTGGGTATGTGTCTCCGACAACGCCCCAATATAAGAGAACATTACAAGAACACGTTCATTAACTTAGAAATTTTCCAATTATTACACGAACACCTTCATCAACTTAGAAAATTTTAATCCATTTTTTCTATTATATTACAAATGTTATTTATCTTTGTTATTGCAATATAATCGCCTTGTATTTATATGATTTGATACATTTTGAACATTTTAAGCAGGTTTTTAATAAATTTAGAGATTTTTAGAGACATTTTATGCGTTTACTAATATATATAAAATTCAATATTCCAAATGGATATTTTTGAACTCTATGCTTATTATTTGCATTTTATTGTTTAAATTATAATTTCTAAGACATTTTTAAATGTCTGTATAATGAATTTAATTATTATTTATTAATAATAATTATGAGGCGTCACAATCCACCCCCAAATTTAATGTTAATGATCCACATAGTGGAGTCGTTAATATAAAATTTTAGTATTTTGAGAGCATATTCACTACACTCAAATAATTGTTGATATATCTGTTCTTTCCTCTTTTAATCTGTTACAATACGGCATATGTTATCAAATCCCCCTGCCCCAGAGAATGGCCGCCACCAACACCCCTTCAACCACAATTATCACAATGTGATAACACCATAATTCAAGTTATTGTATATCGTGTTGTTAATAAAGTTTGCAGTCAATTGTCGATTTCTTATTTTTTAATATCTCTAACCTGTTTGTTAGAGATATTAAAAAGTAATAATAATACCGTTGCATTGCTGAATGAACAAACAGATTTCTTATTTTATTAATTTATCTTTAAATCTTTGAAACATTATTTTTACAACTCTTCATTATATATTAATAACGTTCTACTATCATATAACAAATCTCTTGCTCATAACTTTAATAATTTTAGACCTTTAACTTAAACAATTATTTCCATGGGCCACCCACAAAACCCTTTTATGTTACAATATTTATTTAATTACTCTAATTTATACAAAAAGAAATTATTATTTAAAATATTTTAATAAGTGAATAGCATTGAAAATTCCTCTAATTTCGTTTGTCTCTGGATTTGCTAAGGTATATACATTGTCAAATGGTACGGCTGCTATTACATAAGGTCCTTCATATGCCAAATTAAACTTACTCATAACTTTATTATCAGCGTCTGATCTACTAGATCTTGAAATTTTTACTAAGTCACCAATATTATATTTTATTAATCTATTTCGCTTATCAAATTTTGTGTTTCTTATTCGACTTGCCTCTTTTAAATTTTTACGCACTTGTTATCTAATTTGTTCGACATTATGTTTGTCTTTACTTTTGGAAATTACTTTGTCAAAAGACATCTCATTTGACTCACCATAAAGAATCTCACAAGGCGTGAAGCCTGTACTATTGTGATAAGAATTATTATACAATTCTTCTAATTTCGGCAATATTAACGCCCAATCTTTGTGGTTAGTATGACAAAGCGTCCTAAATAATCTGCTCAACTCTTTATTTACTCGCTCTGTTGTATTTGGTCTAGGATTTCTAACTGTGGTATATATTGGCTTTATATTTAATTCACTCATTGTTTCCAGTGATTACTTACGAACTGTTTTCCATTATCTGTCATTATTGCCTTGGGCTTTATAATCTCAACAAAATGCTTTACTTTTGTTACAACAGACTTTGCTGTTGACTGTTTTAAAGGATATAATTTGAAAAATTTACTGAATGAATCTTGAATGACAAATATGAAAGTGTACCCAAAGGTACCTGATACAAGTGGTCCATATAAGTCTGCTATGACTATATCGCCAATGTTTTCTGTTATTATAGATTTGCAGGGACCCACATATGTTATATTGCTTTTCTTAGATAACTGACATAAATGACAAGCCCTTAATTGGTTTTTAATATCTTTTGTTAAACCTTTCCAAAAGAATCTGTCTCTCACATATTTAATTACCTTATAGGGTCCTTGATGACCCTTTTCTACATGCACTTGTTTTATAATATCTTGTCTCAATGCTTTAGGTAAATATATTACTTCTTGTAAATTCGTTTTGTAATATAATACATCATTTTTCAAACTATACCTTTTAAATTTATTGTTGTGTTTTATTATGGAAGTATTTAACGTCTTTAACTTTTCAATAATAGCCAACGACTTTGAATCTTGTAATTGATATACTGATAAGGATTTTAATTTTTTTATCAACTCAATATTCGGTTCGCTCTCTGTGTAAGCAATTTCTAAACTATTATTTTTATCCTCTTGTATTAAATCGCCATCAGGAGGATAACGTGATAGCACATCTGCAACAATATTACGTCTACCCGATATATGTTGTACTTCATAATTAAATTGTTCTATATACAAAATCCATCGGGTTACTCTACCATTGAATAACTTCATATTATTAATAAACAATAATGCTTTGTGATCAGTTAGTATTATTACTTTACTGCCCCGCAAATATGTTTCAAATTTCTTTAGGCAGCTTATTACAGCATAAAACTCTTGTTCAGTAACAGACCAATTTAATTCGGGGCCTTTTAAGGCTTTACTATGATAGCCTAAAATTCTCATTTCATTATTATCATCTATCTGATATAGTACTCCGGCCATACCCACACCGGAACAATCTGTTTGTAAATAATACGGCTTATTAAAGTCTGGATGATGCAATTGTATTGTATTAATAAATTGTTGTTTTATAAAATCAAATGCCTTCTGTTCTTTACCGCTCCATTGGAACTTTCGTCCCTTTTTAAGTAATTCACAGAGCGGTATTATGCTCTCGCTGTAATTTGGTATAAACCTTCTATAAAAATTGCATAGACCTAAAAAGGCCCTTAATTGTTTAATCTTTTTAGGTGCTGGAAACTCTTGGATCGCTCGAATCTTATCGGGATCTGTCTTTATGCCTTCTGTTGAAATTATAAAACCCAGCATTTTAATTTCTTTACAAATAAATTCACATTTCTGCAAGTTACACGTTAAGCCAGCTTTGTTCAATTTACTTAAAACAATATCAATGTGCTCCAAATGTTTATCTAACGTTCCTGTTGTAATAATGGCTAGATCATCTAAATAGTTCACACAAAATTCTTGGACTTCTGGTCCTAATATTAAATTCATGGCTCTGCTAAAGCTTCCTACTGATGTTTTTAATCCTTGCGGCAAAACATTATATACATATGACTTTCCATTGAATGTGAATCCAGTATATTTTCTACCATCTTTAATTATCGGAATTTGAAAATATGCATTATTTAAGTGCTTTTATTTGCATTGCTTTAACTGGCATTATTGATATTTTACGATTATTATCTTTAATTTGTAAATATAAACTTTCTGAAATGCATGTAACATTGCTCCCAGTGTCGAGGAGCGCGTCTATTTCTTTGTCAAATATTGAAACTTTAATTTCAGATCTCATATTCCCTATAAATTCCCTTTGATATATATCTTCGTCTTCCTCGAAGACGGTTTGCACGAATAACTCCGTTATGGGCAAGTCCGACCTGACTTTTAAGGTATTTAATATGCTATTTACATTGTCGTTATAACCAAGGCCTTCTCTGTTAAAATTTGCTTTTAAAGTAATAGGTTTTCGCAACCCTCTATTGTTTTTACCCAATGTTTGACCAGGTCGCCAACCCAGTTTTAATAACATATTTAATGCTTTGTTCCCTTTTACATTGTAAGGGGTCGCATCGGGAACTAGTTCGACCTCTACAGCTCTAAATTTGGCTCAGGAGCCGTAACATCAGGTTGGTCATTAGTGAAATGTATTTCATGTACTTCATTAACCTTCTTTTTTTCCTCTTCGGGTTTACGCCATGTTTTGTATGATTGTTGTATTTCTTTATGTTTTTGCTCCGTATTATTATTAAACTTCCTCCTTTTCTCATTATAGTAAGGTTCACGACCTTCATCTTGTTTGTCGATGTCATCTAAGTTTCTTAAGAAATCTGTCGTGTCTATTATTGTCTCAATTTTAGCTATTCTCCATAATTGCTGCACAGTTTTAGGATAATGTCTGATGACATCAGTTACTAATTGTTTTTCAGGTATCGGATATGATAATGTTTGTGCCTTCTCAACAACATAAAGAAAATAACTAACCATGGTGGGGTGTGTACTTCTATTCCATTTATTTTGCACAAGGAATCTCTTTACTTTATTTTGTTCTTCTTCACCCCAAAACACTCTTAGGAAGTCAGCTTTAAAATCATCAAAAGTTGTCCAACGCACATTATTAATGCGAGCCCAATACTTGGCTTCACCTACTAAGAAGCACTCTTGTGCAATCGAAATTTCGAGACCATTAGATGGAACTTTCTTTAAATAATTGGTGAGATCTTCCAAAAATGATACTGGATGAGTATTTCCATTTCCAAATTTCGGCTTTTCTATTGTTACATTATGTACATTATATACAATATTTTGTCTAGGATCATTTACATGAGAGGTGCTCGCTCCGGACACCTCTCCTTGATTTATTTTAATTTGGTAATCTTTAGTTTGGTTAATAAATTTTTCCTCAAGATCCTTTATTTTAACCTCAAAGGTTTTCACTGCATTCTTAATTAATTTCTGAAGCATTTTCATCTCATCTTTAGGCTTAGCCTTAATTGAGGTTGATTTTTTCTTATTTTTAGCCATTTTAATTTTTATTTCCACTTTTTTTTTTTTACACTTTTTGCGTCCTTCACTTACTTTAATTGAGTTTTTCCACTTATTTCACTTTATAATATATAGTATTGCAGTTTTTTTTTTTTTTTTTTTTTTTTTTTTTTTTTTTTTTTTTTTTTTACACCTGTTGTGTCCTTCACTTAGTTTAATTGAGTCTTTCCACTTATTTCACTTTTTATTATTTCGCTCCGTTATGCACACACCTCCTATATTATTACTCAATTTTAATATTTAAGCCCCACCCCCAGACTCTCAACCACTCCCAGCAAACACCACTCTCCAAGACACCTCTCCATTTCACGGACAACAAATTGTAGGCATATAGCCTACCTCATAATTTTATATTACCGGCCTCCTATTTAAAATTTAACCTCTATCCTGGTCACGGCACCAAATTGTAACGAACCCCCCCCCCCATCTTTTTTCTTTTCTACTATATCCCACTTATATTTGTATTTCTTTAGAATCTATATCTGTAAGATATATAAATATATCAAATTTACGTGACCAGTATAACTTGATCTTTCTAAAGGTTTAAATATAGGCCGTTTAAATTTATGGCGTGATCGTCTTAGTTAGGACCCCTCTTTACGTTATGTTTGTATAGTAACTTAGTTCTTTTAGGTGTATCTTGGAAGAATGAATATTCACGAGAGCAATCGAAAGCTGTTGGTAGAGTCTTATAAGCTAGAGAACCCCGTTCACTAAGACAGAGCTCAAAAAGGTTAAGAACAATAAATTGTCCCTATTCCACTTGTATCTGGTTCACAACAGTCAATTCCTTATTAATTAATCCCTTCCCGCTTGGAAAAGGCTCACAATATTTATATCAAATACCAGTTACAAGGGCTTCGCTCTCCCACATTTTAAAAAAAATGTGGAGGAGGTACACGGCCCCACACACGCCGCGCACGGTGAGCGCCAACCATTTTAATGCGCTCCCCCCGAAGGGTACGCAAAGTTGGGAACTGGACCGTAGTCCACAGCAAAATAACTGGCGAACCAGTAAAAGAGGACTTGGCCCCTTGATAGTGCGTAAGCACAAACATCGACCGAAGTCGCGCATGTCAATGCGTGTAAACGCCATACAGAATACGATCAAATCCAGTCACAGTGAATGTACGTCACACGGGTTAGGCAACAATAGGCACACTGACCATAAAAAGCCTTCCGTGAGCGCCACCACCTGCCAGACCGCCGTTCCTGCAGACGTGATGTAAGTGTAAGGCATCACCACCAATTGCATGGTCAGCACGGCCAATTGGCCGCAGAGCGTGTCATGAGTCTACCGCTCACCTCAAGGGAATGGGGTCCCACGTTGCGCGGCTTTCGGCCGCAGCCTTGAGAGCCTCCTCAGATTCTCCCTCCAGCTACCACCCGCATGAGGTCAACACATATGCTCCACCAACCAATACAATGGCAGATATAGCCAATAGGCAGTTATAAGATAATATTAATAATTCGCCATCAGAAAGGGTTTGTGTCACTGACGTTGAGTATATGCATTTTTCGATCATGTTTGTCTCACCCACCAACAAGTTGCCTTCAATCTCTCAAAGGTGGGAACTTTATAGAGATATATTATTAAGTTGTTATATAAAACATCATGGAGGGCAGACAGTCTGCAGCCCCGCTATGAAGGGACCCGACTTGGGCAAAGCTACTTAGGTTGTGAGTCAAACCAAGACGCAGAGAGCGCCATTGAGAATAGCGACCCGCCAAATAACCATCGTAGAGACGCAATGCTACAGAATGCAACAAGCATCAATACGACTATCGTCGGGCTTACACCATCCCAAGGTCCCCCATACAGTCCCAGCAGACATCACCACCCGCATACCTCCATCGACCAGAACCACAAGATGCATCGAATCAGGTGCAGCACACCCGCAGATCCATCACAAGACACAATACTGCAAGTAGCAGTAAGCATCAATGCAACTATCATACGGATGGCGCCCCCTCACAACACACCCACATGATCCCTATCGACTTTGGTAACAAAATTTGATAATGTTGTTAACTAAAAATACCACCGACGTATCATAGTAGTACGGTACTAAGACGTCAGTAGCCAAAACTCCACGTATCATAGCGCTATTGCACTAAGACATGAAGTTGAGTATGCTTGCTGCACTTAAAAGTACTACCAAACACACTCACCCTAATCCGAAAGATAGCCGACGTATCATAACGCTATGCGCTAAGACGCCGCCCACAACCGGTAGGGGTGTGCGATGTCCACGGGCAAGTCGTATTGCTACAACAAACCCGCTTACCACCGGCACTAAGATGATATGTCTAGGACACATCGGTTAGTGAGTCCAAGTTTACCTCGGTCTCAGAGGCTGCGAAGCAACCTACACGCCACTATAATAATCCTTTTCAAGTCCCATTTCTTTCAATATAATGCTTTTACATATATGAGACCTTCCACATATTTGCTTTATTTCATAGACCATACTACTGTATGTCTTATTCATATGGGACTTCAAGTCATAACTCTGCTATCATAATGCTTATGCATCATAGAGACCTTCTATATTAATGCTTTGGTTCGTCAGACCTTACTATGTTAAGTCCCTAATATAGGACTAGTCATTGTGCAACCTTAGTACTAGCAGTCGGTCAGCCGACCACCCCATATATATGTACAATCTTGGGTATGTGTCTCCGACAACGCCCCAATATAAGAGAACATTACAAGAACACGTTCATTAACTTAGAAATTTTCCAATTATTACACGAACACCTTCATCAACTTAGAAAATTTTAATCCATTTTTTCTATTATATTACAAATGTTATTTATCTTTGTTATTGCAATATAATCGCCTTGTATTTATATGATTTGATACATTTTGAACATTTTAAGCAGGTTTTTAATAAATTTAGAGATTTTTAGAGACATTTTATGCGTTTACTAATATATATAAAATTCAATATTCCAAATGGATATTTTTGAACTCTATGCTTATTATTTGCATTTTATTGTTTAAATTATAATTTCTAAGACATTTTTAAATGTCTGTATAATGAATTTAATTATTATTTATTAATAATAATTATGAGGCGTCACACTAAGTATAACCTAATGTTGGAGAGGGTACAGAATAAATTTGTGAGATATCTGTATATGAAGCTTTACGGCGTGTACCCATTCTATCCCTTAATGTATCCAACCTTATTCATTTTAGGAATGGTCGGATACAATGAACTTAGGGTTAGGAGAGAACTTGCTCTAGTTTTATATATTTATAAGGTACTCATAGGGAAAATATTTAATCCTGAAATACTAAAACAATTAAACATGTATGTACCCGACGGATACATAGGGAGACGGCGACGGCCACAATTGTTTGCCGTGCCGAAAGGAAGGACAAACCTAATGCGTCAGGCGCCCCTCACACTTGCTCTCTGCACACTTAATTTCTTAGCGAG